TGGTGCTGGAAAGGGGCAGCTGCTTTGGGGTGCTGGGTGGCTCCATGCAGACAGGAGCTGTGAGCTCCATAGGGGTGCTTCTTTGGGGAGATCAGATGGTTCCTTTCTTTAAAGGGCACGTTCACACTGTTCTTTTGAAATCACTCCCCTTATTTAGCAATAACAAGGCAAATCGTCTCGCTACCCAGCCCGTTATTTCGAAATGGTAACGCCTGCGTGTGAAGAGGAATAATCTTCCTTCCAAATAGTTATTTTGGGAGTTGTTCTTTCGAAACAGCCTGGCTGTGTAGACGAAACCAAAAAGCAGCAGGTGCGTCTACACGGCTCCCCAAACGCGAAAGAAGAGACACAATTGGTGCGATGCGAATTGCCTGTCATTTCGATTGTGTCTTGAAATAGCTTATTTCGAAATGTGGCAGGTCTACACGGTTCCACATTTTGAAATGACGCGCTATTTCGAGACATCCCTTAACCCTCGTGGAATGAAGGTTACAGGGAGGCCGAAATAGCATGCCCGTTATTTCGAAAAATATTTTAAAAAAATTCCAAATAACGGGCACGTTTCAAAGACACGGGGTAGCTATTTGGGGATACCTGCGGTATCCTGAAATAGCCCTGCTATCTGGACGTACCCGAAGAGACTCCACTGTCCCCATTTGCCCTGCGGATTGGCAAATTCCTAATTTAACTTCTGAATGCAAAATTCACTGTCAATGAGTGAGATTCAGGGGTTGTTCTGTTTGTACCATGAGGGGTGGGCCGGGGCAGGAATTCCAAGGCAATACAATTCCCAGGCAATGTACGGGCTTCAGCCAGCCCACGAAAGCTGGTGCCCAAATAAATGTTATCTTTAAGGTGCCATGGGAATGGGGCAAATTCCTAATTTAACTTCTGAATGCAAAATTCACTGTCAATGAGTGAGATTCAGGGGTTGTTCTGTTTGTACCATGAGGGGTGGGCCGGGGCAGGAATTCCAAGGCAATACAATTCCCAGGCAATGTACGGGCTTCAGCCAGCCCACGAAAGCTGGTGCCCAAATAAATGTTATCTTTAAGGTGCCATGGGAATGGGACCCTAGGGGCCCTGTGCTGGGGCGGGAGGGGGGGGGCGCGAAGCAGAACAGGTCACCTGGTCTCTCTGGGTCCCGCCACAGGATGTGTGGGGGCTGGTGGAGAGATGGTGACTTCCCCCTGCTGCCACCTTGCACCCGCCCTGGTAATCCCCTGGCTTGTGGCACTTTGGGGAGGGGCAAGGAGGGGGAAGGGCTTGGGACCAGGGTCTCTCTGGGTCCCGCCACAGGATGTGTGGGGGCTGGTGGAGAGATGGTGACTTCCCCCTGCTGCCACCTTGCACCCGCCCTGGTAATCCCCTGGCTTGTGGCACTTTGGGGAGGGGCAAGGAGGGGGAAGGGCTTGGGACCAGGAGCAGAGCCTGAAGTGGGGGGGGGGTTGCCTTGGGCCCCGCATCTGGGGTCCCAGGGAAGGTTGCTGCAGGCCTTGTGCCCTCCCAAGGATGACCCTAGCCATAGGACTCCTTGTGGCTTTTGCTGAAACAGACTAACATGGCTACCCCTCTGACACAAGGCAATACAAATGAATTAACTCGATTATGAGCAAGAAAAGTCCATTTCCTTCCCTGCTCTGATGTCACCGTTTCCTCTGCTTGGATTTCTTTGAGCTCCTTGATGTTTCTGACATCACAATCGTTCTTGTGTCCGCTTCAGTGCACTATGATGTCAGAATGAAAACACAGCACATGGTCAAACCAGCAAGTAGGAAAGGGCGAAGGAAAATTGTGGGTTAAAAATTATCCATTTAAAGAGAAAACAGAATCATAGACAGACAGATTGGTCTGGGTCCTGAAAATGATGCACTTGATAAAACATAGGGGGGAGGGATGGCTCAGTGGTTTGAGCATTGGCTTGCTAAACCCAGGGTTGTGAGTTCAATTCTTGTAGAGTCCATTTGGGGCAAAAATTTGTCAGGGATGGTTCTTGGTCCTGCTGTGAAGGCAGGGGATTGGACTCAATGATCTTTCAAGGTCCCTTCCAGTTCTAAGAGATAGGCAATCTCCATTAATTTAATTAATGTCCACATTTTGGTAGACCAGGCAGATCATGGCATGATGGTTTATTACACTATAGTTGTTATAATTCACAGAATCATCGAATCTTAGGGTTGGAAGAGACTTCAGGAGTCATTGAGTCCAATCCCCTGCTCACAGCTAAATTATCCCAGCCTGGGCTTTGTCAAGCCAGGACTTAAACACCTCTAGGGATGGAGATTCCACCCCATCCTTAGGGAACCCATCCCAGAGCTTCCCCACCCTCCTAGGGAAATCATTTTTCCCAATATCCAACCTAAAACTCCCCCACTGCAACTTTAGACCATTGCTCCTCATTCTGCCATCTGCCATCACTGAGAACAGCCTCTCTCCAGCCTCTTTGGAACCTCCCTTCAGATAGTTGAAGGCTGCTCTCCAATCCCCCTTCACTCTTCTCTTCTGGAGACTTAATAAGCCCAAATCCCTCAGCCTCTCCTCATAGGTCATGTGCTCCAGCCCCCGAATCATTTTTGGTGCCATAGAATCATAGGATCATAGAACACTAGAACTGGAAGGGACCTCGAGATGTCATCAAGTCCAGTCCCCTGCCCTCACGGCAGGTCCCAGCACCATCTAGACCATCCCTGATAGATGTCTGTTTAACCTGCTCTTCAATATCTTGAGAGATGGAGATTCCACAACCCTCCTAGGCAATTTATTCCAGTGTTTAACCCCCCAGACAGGAAGTTTTTCCTAATGTCCAACCTAACCCTCCCTGGCTGCAGTATAAGCCCATTGCTTCTTGTCCTATCCTCAGAGGCCAAGGAGAACAATTTTTCACCCTCCTCCATGTGACACCCTTTTAGACTTGAAAAGTGCTCCCAGAGCAGTACAAAATGTTGCTGAATACATCTCTCCAGCTGCACTACAAGCCTTATCAGCAGCATTGGAAGATGGGTGTTCCCCTCTACAAGGTTATGCTCCAAACTCCCAGAATTAATCACTTTCTGGTGTACATAGTCTTTAATTAAGAACATTTTGCAGCCTAGGTCAATGCAGAGTAGGGCAGAAAGAACGACTTCTCGTGTCTTGCTGACAACACTCCTGTTAATGCAGCTCAGAATCATGCTTGCTTTTTTTGCAACAGTGTCACACTATTGACTCATATTTAGCACGTGATCCACCATGACCCCTAGATCCCTTTCTGCAGTGTTCCTTCCTAGGTAGTCGCTTCCCATTCTGTGCGAGAGAAACAGATTGTTCCTTCCTAAGTGGAGTATTTTCCATTTGTCCTTATTAAACTTCATCCTATGTACCTCAGACCATTTCTCCAGTTTGTCCAGATCATTTTGAATTCTGACCCTACCCTCCAAAGCACTGGCAACCCCTCCCAGCTTGGTATCATCTTCAAACTTAATAAGAGTTCTCTCTATGCCAAAATCTAACAGGAACCAGTATGGTCTTCACCAGTGTTTCTTAAACTTTTTAAGACTGAGGAACACCGAACAATAATTTTCTTAAACGCAGAACACCAAGGATTTTTTGTTGAGGAAAAAAAAAGGGGGTCGGGGAGAAGTTGTTGAGCAAAAAAAAAAAAAGTTGCCTGCCCCTTTACGGGTGGCCATCTTGAACTCTGTTGTTCTCTGTGGCACACCCCTGACTGCCTTGTGGCACACTGGTGTGCCACAGAACACAGTTTAAAAAAAACGGATCTAAATCACTGATGAAGATATTGAACAGAACTGGTCCCAAAACAGACCCCTGTGTTCTCCATGTGTAAGAATTATAGCTCCGTCTAACTTTAAAGCCCAATGGGTGGGTGTGGGAAAGGGAGAATCTCTAAATACCAATGATTTCATGGTTGCTTATTCAGCTGAGATCTTTTCTTGGTTGCTTAATATGAGATCCGTTTAACAAAATAATTATTTGTGATTTTTGTTTTTTGCTCAAAAAGTGAATGATTGTTGCAGTCTGACTCTGTGACATTTATTTTTTAAATGAAAAATATACAGGAAGGCCGCTATAGCCACACACGATCAATTTGCCAATGTTGTCCTCTTGCTAGCTGTGTTTTTTGTGCTCCCCAAGTCAGGGTGAGAGAGCAAGAGATACAATGCTCATTCATATTCTTTTCAGCTAACTATAATCCCATTTCTTCTCCACTCACTGTTTAAAATCTCACTGATGCTTCATGGGAAACTTTTGAAATAATAACCTTGAGCATTTGCATCGGTTTATTAAGCCCTGACTCTGCAAACAGCATGCCTTGCGTTAAGAGCTGAACAAATAGAAGATTCTTGGTCATAGTGGATAAGTGCCTAAGTGAGGAATGAAGTTTGTTAGTGGGCTCTTCAATCCAGCAGATAAAGATACAGCAAGATCATATGGATGGGACCTTAAGGAGGGGGCAGGAGACGATCACGGTGGTCCCTTCTGGCTTTAGAATCTATGAACATAATAGCCAAGGTGTCTTTCACTGCGCTGCATACAATGACAAACCCTGTTGGTGCTTAGTAAATACCGTAAGCCTGGGTCCTCCCTGGAGATCTGTTCACACAGACACCCAAATCCATGATGTTGGGCTCCATACTTGCACTGGGGTCTGAGCTAGAAGATCTGGCTGCAGACTTAGGACATCTTGCAAAGAGCTCTGCCAATGTTAGTTAGTTAATGCACAACCTGGTGCCAGATTTAAGTCACCGGAATGATATCCGTAATGAATCTAGCAGAGGGAAGTCTCTGGAGGTAGCTGCTAGTGTCTGGATTTCACCTCGTTAACTGTTATTGATTAAAGATTCAACTAAAGTGCAATAGCCTGCACTTGGGACAGGAGAGTCCCAAGCATTGTTACAGGGTGGGGACCAACTGGCTAAGTAACAGTTCATGGAAAAGGACCTGGGGATTCCAGTGGATGGGAAGCTGGATATGAGTCAACAGTGTGCCCTGGTAGCCAAGAAGGCTAATGGCATAGTGGGGTGCATTAGGAGGAACAGATCCAGAGAAGTGATTATTCCTCTTTATTCGGCCCTAGTGAGGCCACATCTGGAGTAGTGTGTCCAGTTCTGGGCCCCCCACTATAGAAAGGATGTGGACACATTGGAAAGGGTCCAGTAGAGGGCAACCAAAATGATTCAGGGGCTGGAGCACATGACCTATGAGGAGAGACTGAGGGATTTGGGCTTGTTTAGTCTGCAGAAGAGAAGAGCGAGGGGGGATTTGAGAGCAGCCTTCAACTTCTGAAGGGAGGTTCCAGAGAGGATGGAGAGAGGCTGTTCTCAGTGGTGACGCACGGCAGAACAAGGAACAATGGTCTCAAATTACAGTGGGGGAGCTCTAGGTTGGATATTAGGAAAAACTATTTCCCGAGGCGGGTGGGGAAGCCCTGGCATGGGTTCCCTAAGGACGGGGTGGAATCTCCATCCCTAGAGGTTTTGAAGTCCCGGCTTGACCAAGCCCTGGCTGGGTTAATTGAGTTGGGATTGGTCCTGCTTTGGGCAGGGGGCTGGACTTGATGACTCCTAAGATCTCTGCCAGCCCTAGAATTCTCTGATTCTAAGATTGCATTGCTTGTGTTGCTGGAACGATAAACATCTTGCTTTCACGCACCCTGGATTTGTGACACGGGCGCATGCCCAGGGCTATTTCTAAATGCAGGGCATTGTCTCACTTTGGTAGCAGCCACCTGTGTGTCTTTAGAGCCAGAAGAACATTAGGTAACAGGATGCTAGACCCTGCTCCGGTGCTACTGAAGTCAATGGGAACTTTTGCCATTGACGTCATCTTCAGATTTAGGGATGAGCCACAACCTGGCTTTGCTCTGAGGTTTTCTTCTTTCTCTGACTCATGCCAGCACCGAGGCGGCACGTCGAGGGACGGCTGGGTAGTGGACTATTTCCACATCTATGGACCACAGCAGCGGTACTTGAACAGGAGAAACTGGGCAGGTGCAGGTAAGATTCCTTTCCGTAAGCTCTTCTCCAAGCATCAGTGTGGGTATGGATCACCTAGTAGGTTAAGAATCATGGGATTTTAAAAGTGATAAATACTGCGTTCTTTTGTTTAACGTGCTTTCTGGTTTCATAGCAGTTGGGGGCAAAGGGGTCACCTTAGCCAGCTTTTCTCCTCACGCATAAGGCTAGAAATGTAATGTATTTTTGAAAGGCAAGCTGAGATTTTCATTTTCACGTGATTCCAGGAGCTGGGACTTTACACCACCCCGAATGACAAAATTGTAAGAGCAGGCAATGCCACATTCTGCAGCGTCGCCTGGCAGAAATTTAGGACAGGACTTGCCCACGGTCGCCCAGCCACAGAGCTGGGACTAGAACCCAAATCTTGCAAGTCCCAGCCTGTTACAGTAACCACTAGGTGACACTGCTTCTGCGGCATTAGTAATGTTGGGAGACCTACCCCTCACCTGACTCAGCCAGCAGAGCGTACAGGGGGTCATAAAACATTCCCAAGGGGGTGGCAGAGAATACCCCAGGTGCAGGTCCTGCTTGGGGCATTCGTAGATGGAACTAATCTGGTCCCCACCCCACAAGTTTTGGGTCTTCAGGCTGCCCAAGTAGGTGCTCAGCATCTGGAAAACACAACGCTGACTTCCCCCTCGTTCCTCTGAGCTGCACTTCCGCAGCCCAAAGTCCTTTCTCACACCGGCCACGTCTACACTAGGAAACTATTTCAAAATTAATACATTTGACTTAACTCCGGATTTAACAAATTCAAACTAGCATGTTCACACTACGGGGACGCCTCGAAATTAGTCCAGGCAGGCTCCGTTAATGTGAACGTGCTACCTTGGACTTAGAGCCTCAGGAAGCACTGGGGAGTAATTAGTCTGAATTACTCTGGGGAGTAATCATTTCAAAATAGTGGCACTGGAGCGGAATTAGTGTTACTCCGGCTGAAAAGCAGGAGTACAGCTTTTGAGTTAAGTGGCCCGTTACTTCAAAATAACAGGCTTTGACCTTGGGGGAGTTATTTCGAAATAAAGTCCTAGTATGGGCCAGAGTCAAGCCAACATGTTGGTCACATTGTCACCAGTAGCCACCAGCTTGGGCCCACCAGGACTTCCAGTTGCTAACAGCGCTGGTCTGGGATTAATACTAAGTTTCTGTAGCATCGACAGATCTCGTGAGCTTGTGTGTAGCTTGCACACCCGTCCAAGGTCTCTGCGGGGCTTGGGTGAGCAGCTGGATGGAGGAGATCTGGAAAGGGAGTTTATATAAAGACAGATGGGGCCAACTCTCTTCCATGCAGGCCACTCTTCTGAGCAGGTGGGTGGCCACTACAACTTCCTGGCGGACGTGAAACCCATGAAGAGCTACAACGGGCGTTTCGGCTACCGTCGCAACACGCCGGACCTGCGGATCAATTCATCCTGCTTCGGCGAAGTCACTGTGTTCCCGCTGCACTGATACCAAACGGGCTGCTTCTCACATGCCCAACGCCAGTCTCGCTGGGCGCCATGGAGACCTGGAGATGCTGATTAGGAGTAAGAAATGAGAGCTAAAATAAAATATCGTTCTCACTTGTTCTATTTTAGCAGCTTGTTGTTACGGGTGATTTATTTGCCTAGGATACGCACTGGAGACGCAGCATCTGGGCTCCTGCTTTTACCAGCTGTTTTGAATCTAGGCTGACTGATGCCAGATGATACTGCAGGCAATTAGATCATGCATGGGCTTCCCATGTGTTCAGAAGAGAAGGGATAGAGAATGAGACAGAATATTTTCTTGCCTCTATACATCCACGGTACGCCCACACCTTAAATACCGCGTACAGATGTGGTCGCCTCATTTGAAAAAAGATCTCTTGGCATGGGAAAAGGTTTAGAAAAGAGCAACAAAAATGATTAGAAGCTTGGAATGGGTCTCATATGAAGAGAGATTAAAAAGAATGGGATTTTTCAACTTAGAAAAGAGGGGACTATGATAGAGGTCTATAAAATCATGACAGGTATGGAGAAAGTGAATAAGAAAAGTTATTGACTTGTTCCCATCACATAAGAACTAGGGGTCATCCAATGAAATGAACAGGTAGCAGGTTTAAAATAAACGAAAGGAAGGTTTTTGGTTTTTTTTTAAATGCAGAGCAGTGTCATCCTGTGGAACTCCTTGCCAGAGGATGCGGTGAAGGCTAGAACTTGAACAGGGTTAAAAAAAGAGCTAGATAGATTCATGGAGGTTAGTTCCATCAATGGCTTTTAGCCAGGCTGGGTAGGAATGGTGACCCCGGCCTCTGTTTGTCAGACGCTGGAAATGGATGACAGGAGAAGGATCACATGATGGTTCCCTCTTCTGTTCACTCCCTTTTGGGCACCTGGCACTGGCCACTGTCGGCCGACAGGACACTGGGCGAGATGGACCTTTGTTCTGACCCAGTCTGGCCGTTCTGATGTTCTAGTCTGTTTGGATCCACAGGGATGAACCTGCCTGAAATACAAGGTGCTTTGTTCTCTATAGAAGAGCCTAGATCTTCACATACACAGAGCATTACAGGAGGAGAAAATGGGGAAAGATAGTTCCTATGTGGCCTGGTGGGTGGCAAGTGGAGAGCTGATACAAGCTTGTGTAGTACTGAGAAGCAGCAGTTAATATTTGTATAGTACCCAGAGAGATGAAGGTAAGGTCCCTACTTGGAGGATCCTTTGAGTAGTTGCCGCATGATTGTTGAGTTATTTTGGTTTGGGGTTGTTTGCTCACTATCATTCCCTTTGACCAGCACCTCAATGACCTTGCAGGTTTTTGAGTGGCTGCCTCAATGGAGTACAGGTTGAACTTCTCTAGTCCGGCACTCTCTGGTCTGACAGCGTCTGTGAAGCATGATTTTAGTTAGATGGATGTCCACCTATCGTAGATGTGGCCAAGTTTTGTACGGTCCCATAAAGTGTGTTTACAGCCACTAGTCCTGGCTCTCAGTGTTTTGTGCTGTTATTTAGCTCTAATTTACCCCTAACGCTACATCTACTCAGCAACGTTATTCCGAAATAACAAAGAGCTTGTCTATGCAGCAAGCCGTTATTATGAAATAACAGCAAACTGGAGGACTTCTTGCCCTGGCTCCTGTAACCCTTATTTCATGAGGAGTAAGGGAAGTCAAAGGAAGAGTGTTCTTCCTTTGGCTTCCTGCCCTGTAGACAGCGCCAAAAGCTGATTGAAGCTATTTCAACTTCAGCGACGCAATTGACATAGCTGAAGTTGTACAGACTAATTCAACTTTGGCCCTACGCAATTGACATAGCTGAAGTTGTATAGCCTAATTCAACTTTGGCCCTGCAGTGAAGATGTGCCCTAAATGTCTTCTAAGAGCCCAGCAAGCAGTGGAAGTGTGGGTCCTGTTGCCAGACAATACTGTCCTCCTGTGGTTTGGCAAGTTCTCTGGTTCGGCACTGGTCAGATCCTGAGGTTGCCGGACTAGAGAGGTTCACTAGAGGGGATAACGCAGGCCCTGGCAATCAGGATGATGTAGCCTCACTTGGGGTTCCACTGACTCCGAAGCTACCCTGAGACAGGGGCTGCTGTAATCTAGATTCCGCAGAGGTTCTGAATTGTGTGATGGGTGTTTCAAAGCTGGGCAAGGCCCGACGAGGCGATTCCCTGCATTATAGATGCCCTGGCTTTTTGTATAGCATGAACACAAGGCCAGGGGTTATTTGGGTCTTGTCTACGCCAGCATTTTTGGGGCAGGGAAATCTCCCACCCTTCCACTCTCACCACTGGTGTAGGCATTTTGGCCCTCTGAGACCTGAAGTTTGGTGGAAGTAAAACAGCCCTCGCTGCTAATCAGAGAGGGGAAGCTCTGTCTGGCAGCCAGGGTCAGAGCTAGTCACCTCTTTGGCCCTGCGTCTGCAGCTCCGGCAGATTGAGCAGAACAGTGCAGACAGAACAGTGCCGACAGAGGCATGTAAATTAGACATACCGACACAATCAATGAAGCAAAGCTTTAAATATCCCCCACTTCATTAGAATAAAAATGACCACCGTGTTGTGCCGGCTCAGCTGTTTGTCCGCACAAACGGGCAGTCAAGACGGGGATCGGTTGACAAGGAAAGCTTTTGTGGATCGATCCTGTATACCTCATTTCACGAGGCATAAGGAATCGGTTGGCAAAGGCTTTCCTTGTCGACTAATCCCCATCTTGACTGCCGGGTTGTGCTGACAAACAGCTGAGCCGGCACAACACGGTGGTCATTTTTATTCTAATGAAGCGGGGGATATTTAAATCCCTGCTTCACTGATTGTCGGTATGTCTAATTTACATGCCTCTGTTGGCAGAGTCATGTAGCCTAGACATACCCAGAGCTACAGGCTCAGGGGCTGGTATAATAAAGGGAGCTGCAAGAATTGAGCCTCCAATTGACTGGGTAAATTTCACCCAGTCAGCGCTTCATGCTGTGGCTGCTCTTACTTTTTCTTACATTGCTGTGAGGCCTCCGTGAAGGCTGGGCACCCCTACAAAACCATGGGCGTGCCATCTCCTGCCCTCAAGGAACTTGCAGTCTAATTATTATTTTGGAACAAGCTATTCTGGAATAGTTATTTCGAAATAGCACGTCTACACTGCAGGGAAGCCTCAAAATTCGAGCGTGATTTACAGCCACAGGAGGAATAACTTTGAATGGCTTTGGTGAGAGGCTATTTAGAGATAGCAGAAGTGGAGTGTCTACACGGGGCTTATTTCGTAATAGCTATAAGAAGAGGTGTTATTCTTTGTAGAATGAGGTTTTCAAAAGTCGGAATAAGCCGTCTGTTATTTTGAAATTATTTCAAAATAATGGAATTGCTGTGTAGACACTTGCATAGTTATTTCGGAAGAATGGCCGTTACTCCGAAATAACTTTGCTGTGTAGACACACTTTAAGAAAGCAAACGATGTGGGAAGGAGAAGGGTGTTCTAGACACTTGCATAGTTATTTCGGAAGAATGGCCGTTACTCCGAATTTTAACGGAAAAGTTTTCCGTTAAAAGCATTTTTGGAAAAATTGCGTCTAGATTGGCAGGGTTTTTCCGCAAAAGTACTTTTTGCGGAAAAGCGTCCGTGGCCAATCTAGACGCGGTTTTCCGCAAAAAAGCCCCGATCGCCATTTTCGCGATCGGGGCTTTTTTGCGGAAAACAGTACTATGCTGTCTACACTGGCCCTTTTGCGCAAAAGTCTTTCGGAAAAAGACTTTTGCCCGAACGGGAGCAGCATAGTATTTCCGGAAAAGCACTGATGATTTTACATGAGATCGTCAGTGCTTTTCCGGAAATTCAAGCGGCCAGTGTAGACAGCTGGCAAGTTTTTCCGCAAAATCCTCTGATTTTTGCAGAAAAACTTGCCAGTCTAGACACAGCTGACATGTTTTATGATCTATACCAGGGGTTCTCAAACTTTGTGATACCGCAACCCCCCTCTAAGTTGCTCGTGACCTCCCGGGGGGCCGGGACCCCCAGTTTGTGAAATGCGGATCTATACTATTATAAAAAGAGAGGTGTCCATCACAGAGCATGTGAGGAGATGTGAGAAGTTTGTACGGGGAGGCAAGTCGCCAATCCCACTTTCAGCCCTGCCCCCTGCAGCGAGGCCGTGTCCCCACCATAGGGAGGGGTGGAGGAGCAGCAGCAGGCTCCTGTATGGGGAGGGGAAGAAAGTGCTTGCCCCATCATCCCCGGAGCAGTGGGGAGGGAAGAAATTGCACGGCCACCACCACCACCCGCCCCGTGAGCAGCAGGGAGGGAAAAGGCCATACAAGAGCGTCATTGTATTTGCGGAAGAACACTGACAATCTGGGAGCAGTGGGGAGAGAGGAGGCCATGTGTACATCTACTGTCACAATGGGGTGGGTAATGCTACTATTCATAATTGTAGTGCTCATCTACCTTTGCTTTATCTGGGAGCAGTGGGGAGAGAGGAGGCCAGGTGTACATCTACCGTCACAATGGGGTGGGTAATGCTAGTATTCATAATTGTAGTGCTCATCTGCCTTTGCTTTACGCTGTTTGGCTCCTGACACTCTGCTCCACTAAACTCCTTTTTCATCCACCCCTCCATCTGCATTTCTCTGCCGTAAGGTTACTTGAGGGGCTTTGTGTGCATGTGCTGTATAACTGTCGGTATGTTCTGCCCCAGAAATAGCTGCATTTCCATCAGTCCAGTTGCTACAGAAGTAGGGACAGTGATGCAATTTTGGGTGAAGGATTGTTGGAGACGGGTGTTTTACCAGCTTGTTATGTAGTTTGGGGTGTGCTGGCCAAGCACAAGCCATTGAAAAGAAGAGTTTTTTTGACATTACTGGTTTAAAGAAACTGAATGAAAACTAATTATAGTTTGTGTGTGTATTATGAGAAATAATTACAGGTGCAGCAAGTATGAGAAATAGCCACAGGCATGATGAATATAATAATCCTATTTTGGGTAGTGATGAACAATGTGACACAACCGGAATCCATAGTTAGACTTACCTGTCACCTTTTTCCCCCAGGTGGGGGTATAGCTCAGGGGTAGAGCATTTGACTGCAGATCAAGAGGTCCCTGGTTCAAATCCAGGTGCCCCCTTGTATAC